AAGACCTTTAGTGGGGCCTGGCACAATAGCATAGCGGTTAAAGTGTTTGCCTTGGGTGTGCCAGGATTCCATATGGTCTCTGGTTCTAACCCCGGCAGCCCTGCTTCCCATCCAGCTCCCTGCTTGTGTCCTGGGAAAGCAGTCAAGGATGGCCCAAAGCCTTGGGACCCTGCACCTGTGTGGGAGACCCGGAAGGGCCCCTGGCTTCGAATTGGCTCAACACTAGCCATTGTTGTCACTTGCGGATTGAACCATCAGATGGAAGATCTTCTTCTCTGTCTCTCCTCCTCTCTGTGTATCTGCATTTCCAATAGAAATAAATAAATCTCTTTTTTAAAAAAAGGCCTATTGTGGGCCCTGCGTCATAGCCTCGCGGCTAAAGCCCTCACCTTACATGGGCCTGGGATCTTCTGCAAACGCTGTGTCTGTCAACTCAGGATTGCATCTACTTGTTGTATATCATTTTGTTTATGTCTCTTTGTTTTTTAAGTTCTTTTGTTCAAATGTTTTCCTTTCTTTTTCTCCTAGCTTGATTAACGCCTGCTCATTATTTTAATCTGGTTTTTATGGGCATGGGCCTAGGATTAGCATTTTGGATTATTTCATCATAATGTTTATTTATAAACTTGTACTTATTTGCAAACTTTTAGCATCTATAAAACTGAGATAATTTCTGCCTCACAGAATTATTGCCAGAATTAAGTGATATTGTAGATGTATAGTTTATGGCAGGGAGAAACAAGATGAAGGAATAGGGAAAGATGTGTTTAAACAGAAAGAGAATCATTAGCCGGGTGAAGCAGAGAGGCTGTGATCCTGGGAAATAGGAAAGTACAGACCGATGGCAGAGGGGACACCTGGAGATCCATGGACACGAGGAAGCAGCAGAGACAGTGGAATGGTATTGCAGTGACCAGATACCCCAGTGGTGGTCAGCGATTAGCAATCATAGCTCCACTATGGGAGCCGGATGGGAAGGTAGTTCACCCAGAGCTCAGGGGGTGAACCCAGGTGTAGAACTACCTGTCCTGCTGAATTGCTTGATTTGACCACAATCAGAAGCAGAGTGGCAGAGCCCAAGCAGGCAGATGAAGGAATAGGGTGGATTTCACAGCCCAGACCCCTTCCAGTGTCACATCAGGCACAATTTTGTGTATTGAGGAAAAAGGCTGTGAGATTGAAGAGACAGTAGTGAGCTGATCATGCACTAAGCAAGAGCAAGGTCATTTCTGACTCAACACATTGCACTAGTCCCACAGGGAAAACAGTACTAACTTGGCCTCCTTCAGGTTCCACCCAGTCTAGGTCCAGGTTGCTCCCAGATGTAATGACCAGCAGGCCCAGACCCCTACCAGTGCCGCATCGGGTGACATTTTGCGTACTGAGGAAAAAGCTTGTCATGGGGAGCTGGAGAACAGCCGTGAGCTCTGCATGGGCTAAGCTGGAAGAGAATCCATGTCCGGTTCAGAATCCATGTCCGGTTCAGAAGAAAGAATCTTAGAAGACATTTCCTTCAACAACGGGGGAAAAATAAAAAAGCTGGAAGAGGGACTAAGTCAAGCTAAGAAAAGTATTCAAGAATTAAGGGACAATAGTAAAAGGTCAAATATAAGTGTTATGGGAGTTCCAAAAGGCACAGAAAGAGAAACTGGGTTTAAAAATAGATTCAATGAAATAATAAAGGAAAACTTCCCTAATTTGGAGAAAGAATTGGGAAACAAAATAGAGGAAGGGCACAGAACTCCAGTAGGGTTGATCAAAATGTGACCTTCACCAGCACACATGATAATTAAGCTCTATTCAGTTAAGAAAAAAAAGAAGATTAAACAGTGAACGACCCATTGCTAATGACAGGACCAAATCACTACCTATCAGTACTAACCCTGAATGTAAATGGTTTAAATTGGCCAATCAAGCATCATAGATTAGCAGACAGACTGGGTCAAAAAACAAAACCTATATATCTGTTGCCTATACCAACAAAGATATACAGAAACTGAAAGTGAAAGATGGAAAAAGATATTCCAGATTAATGGAAAGAAAAAATGAGCTGGTATAGCCATTCCTTTTTCTTTTTTTTTTATTACAAAGTCATATACAGAGAGGAGGATAGATAGAGAGGAAGTGGAGCCGCTGGGATTAGAACTGGTGACCATATGGGATCCTGGCGCATTCAAGGCGAGGACCTTAGCCACTAAGCCACACCACCGGGCCTGATACAGCCATTCTTACAGCAGATAATATAGACTTTAGCATGAAAAGTATTAAAAGAGGTGAAGAAGGACACTACATTAATGATCAAAGGATCTATTCAGCAAGAAGAGATCACTATACTAGTTTCTTAGGATGCTTTCTTTTTCATCTCTAATTTTACTTGGTTTTTTTCTCTTGCTTTTCCTTGCTAAGTCTGGCTAAGTTTATTATGCTTGTCTTCTTAAAAAATAGTTTGTTCTTGTTGCAATTTATAGTTTTTTAAGTGAAACCCATTTATTTTTGCTGTGATTCTTAAAGTTTCTGGCTTTCTGTTCATTTTTATTTTTTAATAAGTCTTTGAAATGCATTTTGATTACTTATCTGAGATATTTTTATATTTTGTAGGCACCTGTTACTATAAATGCCCATTTCAGTACTATTTTTGCTACATCTCATAGGTTTTGATATTTTTTATTTTTCATTTCTTCAAAAAAGTTTTTTTCTTACTATTTTTTTCAGTGATAGGTCATACAGTAGCATCATTTTCTTCAAGAAGGTTTTTAATTTTATCATTTCTTCAGTGACACATTGGTCATTCAGTAGCATGTTGTTTAACTTCATGGTGTAATTTTCTGTTTTTCTCTGTTGATTTTGTTTTATGGCTGTTCATTTAAGGGGATGTATAATAACAGTGAAATAGAGGCTGTCATATTCAAATGTGAAGATATAATGCAGTATGCATCTATACTTCCAAATCAAAGATGGACTTCCAGTGAAACTGTTAAATAGTAGAATGATGGACTGTTTATGAAGGATTATCTTATTGTAATAATATAGGGTTAATCACTTGGGGGGAGTGGAAATGGAGGGGAGAAGGGACATCCCAGAGCTATGCAACTGTATCATAAAATAAAAAAATTAAAGCAGAATGTCAGGTATGTGTATGTGTGTTTTAAAGGATTGTTTCTTGCAAGGCAGAGAGAGAGAGAGAGAGGGAGAGAGAGAGCAGAGTGAATGAGTGCATTTCCTTCTGCTGATTCACTCCCCAGTCAGGTCTGGGCCAGGCTGAAGCCAGGAGCCGAGACCTTCATCTTGGTCCCCTGTGTGTGTCAGGAGCTTCAGTGCTGGGGCTGTCATTGCTGCCTTCCTAGACACATTAAGAGGGAGCTTGATTTCTAGCAGAGCAGCTGGACTTCAGCCAGTGCTCTAGTAGGAATGGTGATACCACAGGAAGTGATTTAACTTGCATCTAGTTGCACCTGTATTTTGTTTACATCTCCAGTGCTATGATTATATACTATTTTATAATCACTTTTTAAAGATTTATTTATTTTTTTAATTGGAAAGTCAGCTATACAGAGAGGAGGAGGAGAGAGAAAGATCTTCTGTCCGCTGATTCACTTCCCAGGTGGCTGAAGTGGCTGGAGCTGAGCCGATCCAAACCCAGGAGCCTGGAGCTTCTTCTGGGTCTCCCATGTGGGTGTAGGGTCCCAGGGCTTTGGGCCGTCCTCTACTGCTTTCCCAGACCGCAATCAGGGAGCTGGATGGGAAGTTGGGCTGCTGGGATATGAACTGGTGCCCCGTATGGGATCCCAGCACGTGCGAGATGAGTACTTTAGCTGCTTAGGCTACCACGCTGGCCCTTATAATCATTTTTAAGTGGACTGCTCATGTACTAGATTTTAACTTCTTGAAATTAGTTTCTTGAAATAACTATGTTCACTTATGTGTTTCTGGTACCTGACACAAGACAATCAGTTAATATTTGTTGAAGTGTGTGTGAGGAATTTCAAAGAGCTAATCTTTTCAAACAATTCCTTTGCACAAATCAATCCTCTGCTCAAGTGATAATTTTTGTCTTCCTTACTCTGTAATAGTGAAGTCTTAAAATAGTAAATAGATTTATTTCCACCACAGTGAGCCTGTGATGCCACAAGCTGAAAATCCAGAGAATCCATGGGAAGTTGGCACCCCAAAGGATTAGGTCATTTTTCCATAATCAGTTTGTATTCTTGTATTTATGGAATGTAGTTTGAGGATATTCAGTGAAAGCCAGTCATGTTCATGTAAATTTGAGGTTTGGATTTTTAGGCAAGTGTTTTCACAGAAATTAGGGAAGTAGTTTGGCAGTTCAGTTGCTTGGTCTGTCTGCCCAACCTCAAGATGTTAGGTCTTTGAGTGTTTACATATTCTAGGCAACAGCCTTACCGGGTATTCTCTTTGTTCTATAAATTTAGGAAAATCAAGCTTAGGTTGAGATTCCAAAGCCTCAAAGTGAGGGAACTGAGATGTAAATCTAATCATTCCAGTGCTCATTCTTTTTTCGTGGTTGTGTCATAATGCTTTTCTAAGAAAACTGAAAGTAATTTTCCTTTGAATTTATTGTATCCAATAGTGTCTTTATTTATTTGGTGACCATTTAAATATTTTAATAACTATAGAAACCTTTATGGTGAGATATTTAATAGGTAAATATATAAAGAGATCAAATGCTTAAAATCATGTAAATTTTAACCTGAGTCACCATTGGAAAGCCTTACTAGCTATCTCCCTGTGCTTAGACTTCAGCACTGTTGTTTATTTCTTCCCCTGTTGGATAATCCCCATGCATTATATTGGTCAGAAGGCAGGAATGTTGTAAATGTTGTAAACCTCAATTTGCTCTAAGATTTGAAATTAACTTTTAGAATGTTCTAAATCTCTCCTCCCCACCCATGTTGGGGATGTGTAAGATAACTTCTCATATAAACTCTAATTTTTAGGCAAATGAGTGAAATATTTCTGCACACAAATGTTTTTTCATTAAAGTCAGTTAATGAAATCAGAAAAAAGACTTTATTGTGGAAATATGCTTTCATTTCATCTTTTATCATGATTGACATAAATACTTCTCGTGTAGTTCACATTGTCCCTTTTTTAAGGGAGGAAATAACTAAATTGATCAGTAAAATATGAAATTGTCCTGGATTTCCCCAAACCAGAGCAAACTAAAAATGATTTGACCAGCTAGGGCTGTGGGAGTCTGTGAAGCTCACATTGTTTGTGTGCTGGTGGAGGGCCTCATTAGGGGGCAAATTTGCTTTTTGTGTTTGCCACTAATGATTACACTTACAGGAACTTGCTTGTTTGGATTGTCTCCTTTAAGTAGCCAGTCTTACACAGTTGAGGCCATTAATTATTTTTCCTGGTCTCTGGGTGTTTTTTCTTTTTTTGTCCTTTTGAGTTTTTAAGTATATAAAGCGGAGGATATGGCTTCTGAGATACTGCCTAGTTAGGGTTCGGCATTGTGCCTGGATTTGTTGGGCCTCTCGGGGCCCGAGTTCTCTGTGTGCTTTAACAAATGAGCTACAGTTCTCAAGAGATCAGTGGAGCTTGTTTGTTGATCCTGTATTCTCCTCCAAAGGAAGTAGATCTTTGAGAATGTCTAAGGAAGGGTAAGTGAGTTTATTTTTCTTTCCCTCTCATTTTTCTGAGTGAAGAGTTGCTGTCTGAGTAAACTGGAAAATTAATAAGCGATATCGCCAGTTTGAGGGTGAGGGAAGAGACAGGTTAGAAGAAATTCAACCCAAAGTTTATAGTGTCTCGTGTGTAATGCATTCTAAAATTACTATTGCTGTTTTTGAAAGATAGTCCTGAAGATGGATAATCTTAATGGAAATATATTTAAGATGTAACTACTCTCTTTACTCTGTGGTGAACATATTTTTGGTAAACTGTGTTATGAAGATTAGAAGCAAGCAGGGTTGGTTTACCAAAGAGTTAGGTGAAATTTACAAATTCAGAGACATTTAAAAATGTACCTTTTATAAATGGTCTGGAAAGATTAAGTGAAAAGCAGCCTCTGATTTTTTTTTCTTTCTGGAAAATGTTAGCATAAAAAATGTCTTGCATTTGTAGAATAAAGTAGCTCTTAGGTGTTGTTGATTTTACATTTTATTTTATATTTGAGAGTTCGAATTGGTGATTCCCTTTTTATGACTAGTGTTATGGGTTATAGGGACCTGCATACTGTTGATATTAGCTTAACCTGGTTGATTTTAGAGAGAGATTCTTTTAATTAAATAGGACATGAAAACCTCTTTTAAAACCTTTAAAAATACAATAAAGTTTTTTTTTTTTAATTCTGGAAGCCATTCTTTTTCCATTTCTTTCATTCTGTGGTAAGTTTTGAGGTGATTCCAGACCCTTGCATTTTTTATAATTTATTTTAACCCTGTTGTACATTGATTATGAACAAAGTAGAATTGGACCACTTTACTGATGTACTTAAATCTCATTATTGAATAAAAAAGAATAGTCAGGTATATAAATCTATTATTTTCAGACTTCTCATGACATGACATTAGAATTTTAAAGTTTCTTTGGGAATTAAGAAAGGACTGCCTCTAGCTTTTTATGTTTTTGTTTTTACGACTGGCTGCAATTGGCTGTTGTGAAACAATTTTTATGATAAAGATTCCCACAGATACAGGTATATTTGTCAGTCTTGTACCATGCATGGCTGTTTATAAAGCTAGATTGTAGTTTAAAATGAACTGCATTTCAAAATGCAAATTCTTGAGAAATAATTATTGCTAATTTCTCCCATTAACACATGTGTTAAAATTGTATAGTCAGAAGGAGAAAGCTGGAGGGATCTATATAGTGACACTAAAGGATACTGTATAGGCTGAAATGTCCTTTTAGGTTTATCTTTAGGAGTTCTTGGAGAAGATCAGTGTAAGAGTTCTTGGGAGATTCTTATTCTGCTAAAAACAGGTACATTTGAAGTACATGGATTTTCCATATATGAAATCGATTAGCTTTTATTTTCTCTATTAAGAATGATTTTTTGTGCTTTGTGATAGAATTTTTTATTCATTCACCCTTTTTACTTATGACACTTTGGCATTTAGTATAGTTTCTTATCATTTGATATCTGTGAAATCATTTCCTAATAGGAAAAGGCTTGTTAAATTTAAGTCACAAGAAATTATATAGTTACATGCTATGTAATAATGTTTCAGTTAATTGTGGACTATGCATTATGACAGTAATCCCATAAAATTATAATGAAATTTAAAAATTCCTGTGAACTAGTCATGTCTTAGCCATCATAATTGCTCAGGGCATTTGTTAATCATGTGTTTGTGGTGATACTGATATAAACTTTCTGTGTTACCAGCTGTATAAAGTGTAGCACATACAATTATATACAGTGCATACTTGAAGATTATAATTTACAATTATATTTCGTTATGGTTTTATGTGTTTTATTTGTTATTATCTTAGTGTATGTTTTAATTTTATTTATTTAAATATTTATTTTTATTGGAAAGTCAGATTTACAAAGAGAAAGGTCTTTTGTACACTGGTTTACTCCCCAAGTGGCTGCAATGGCAGAACTGAGCCAATCTGAAGCCAGGCTTCTGCCAGGTCTCCCGTGCAGATGCAGGGTCCCAGGGCTTTGGGCTGTCCACTACAGCTTTCCCAGGCTGCAAGCAGGGAGCGGGAAGGGAAGTAGAGCAGCGGGGACACGAACTGGTGCCCAAGTGAGATTGAGGTGCAAACAAGGTGACCACTAGGCCATTGTGACAGGCCTTGCACTAGCTTGTTTTTAAAACTTATTTTTTTTAACTTGAAAACCAGAATTAGAGAGAGGGAAGAAGAGAGGGAGGGAGAAAATTGAGAGAGGATAAATGTATCTTTCTTTCACTGATTCACTCTTCAGATGGCTGCAGTGGTCAGGGCTGGGCTGGGTCAGGCTGAAGCAAGGAACTACTTCCTGGTCTCCCCATGTGGGTGACAGGGGCCTAAGCAGATCATCATCTGCTGCTTTTCCCAGGCCAGTAGCAGGGAGCTAAATCTACAATGGTGCAATCAGAAAATTAACCAAAATCCATGTGGAATGCTGTGTCACGAGTGGGGCTTTATACCTATTCATAGTGCCAGTCCCGAGATTCATTTTTATAATTTATGTTAGAATAACTGAAAAAATGAGCCTGCACTTGTAGTTCAAAATAAATATAATCTTTCCACCTTCAATTAGATAGAGTTTTTTTTTAACGATTTGTATATTTATTTACAAGGCAGAATTACAGAAGAGGGAGAGGCACAAGAGAGCATGAGATCTTCCATCCATAACCCAACAGCCACAGTTGTTAGGGGTGGACCAGGCTGAAGCCAGAAGTGTGGGTGGAACTCCAACCTGACTCCCACATGGATATAGGGTCCCAAGCCCTTAGACCATCCCCCACTTCTCTCTGAGACACATTAACAAGGAGCTGGATTAAAAGCTCAATAGCTAAGGTTCAAACTGGCGCCTAAATGGGAAGCCTCTGTCGAAAGTGGGCTCTTAACAGGCTCCATCAGAACAGCAACACCCTGGGGGGGAATCCCAGTCTACACGGGCGGGGTGGGAGTGGATGGGTGAGGGGGAAAGAACAGCAATGCCCTAACTAGGGAAGGATTTGTTAGGTAAAATAAAAATAAACTTGATAAATTGGGTCTCATCAAACTTAAAAACAAACTCCAGCTTTTTGAATGATAGTATTAAGATAAAAAATGAAGCCTTTAGACTGGAAGAAATTATTCTTAATACATTTAAATCTGATAACTTATATACAGAATACCTTGAGAACTCTTACAACTCAATAATAAAACTACCCAATTTTTAAATGGGCTGAAGATTTTATTAGAGGGGATGGTGTTGTGTACTAAGTTAAGCCACCACCTGGGATCCCATATGAGCCTTGGTTCCAATGCTGGTTGCTCCAGTTCCAGTTGAACTCACTGCTAATGCACCTTGGAAAGTGGCAGAGAATGATCCAAAGTACCTTGCACCCTGCTGGCCACATGGGAGACCTGAATGAAGTTCTGTCTTCTATGGTTTCTGTGTGGGCTGGTTGTTGCTGTTCAGAGCATTTGAGAAGTGAACCAGCAGGTGAAAAATCTTAACTCTGTCCCTCTGTGTAACTCTTCCTCTAAAATAAATATCTTTTTTTTTAAAAAAAGATCTTAATGGATAATTCACAAAAGAATATATGACAGATAAGCATTTGAAAAGATGTTCTGCATCAGCCATTATGAAAATGCAGATCAAAACCACAGTAGTTACCAACAGACGCTTGGTTTAATAACTAAATTGAAAACCAGTTGAGACCCTCTGGGTTCTTCCTCCTAATCCACTCCATCTTTATCTGAAATGTAGTGGTTTCAACCCTGGAACCACCCAGAAATAATTTTAAACATGTCATTGGCCCCTATTCTGACCTGTCCCCAGCCCTCTGGTCTTGGGAAGTGCACTGACCACATATCCTCCTTGCGTAGTGTTAGTGGTGGGGCAGCCCCAGCCAGTGTACAGCAGTAGTGGCATGGCAGGTGCTCTGCCCCGTCTCCCCAAATATATATTTTTTGAGATTGATTTATTTTTATCGGGAAAACAGATTTACAGAGAAGACAGATGGAGATTCACCTCCCAAATGGCTGTAACGTTCAGGGCCAGAGCTGAGTTGATTTGAAACCAGGAGGTTCTTCACGTCTCTCACATGGGTGCAATGGCCCACATGGCCTTGGCCCATCCTCTGCTGCTTTCCCAGGTCATAAACAGAGAACTGGATTGCAAGTGGAGCAGCTGGGACATGAACTGGTGCACATTTGGGGTGTTGGTTCTTGTATGTAGAGGATTAGCCTGTTGAGCCACCATGCTGCTTGTGTGCATGTGTGCACAAATGCTTGCTCGTTCTCTCCTCCTCCCCCGCTTAAAAAAAATCCTTGGAGCATTGGTATTGTTAACACAGAATTGACGTTAACCAAGCCCAGAATGCCTGTTAGCTATTGGCTGCTTTTCTCCTAGCATTGTAACCCTTGCCATGGTACAGGGCAATTTAGGCAGTTGCCTACACTTGGGGAGGCTTATATACTGAGTGTGTAAGTAGTATAATTTGTTTTCTTTTATAAATGAAAATGCATATTTTGGTTAGGTTTAAAAAGCATAGGCTGCTGTTCTGGCATAATATAACGAAATGTGTCCCTCCCACGAGTGTTTCTCAGAGGGAAACAAAATTTAAAGATTTAAGAGAGGTTCCAGTGATTCATTTGCTTCCCAAATGCCCACAGTGCAACCAGAGCTAGACCAGGTTTGAAACCTGAAGGCAGAAACTCCGCCTTGGTCTACCACATAGGTGGCAGGAACCCAAGTTTTGGGGCTCCTCTCCTGCCTCCCCCAGGTATGTTAGCAGGAAGCTGGATCCAGAGTGTGGAGTAGCCAAAACTCAAACCTGTCCACCCAGTCTGGGATGCAGGTATCCCAAGCCAGAGCTTAATATGCTCTGCCACAACATTCTGTGTTTGATTTTAATTTGAAAATGGAGGGGGTAGAGAAGGAAGACAGATTAATCTGCCGCTTACTTGTTCTCTGCTACAGCAGCATTTACTGCAGTAGCTGGGGCTAGAT